GTAGGCATCTTGGTAGCAGCCAACTCTTTCTCTCCAGATGCCATAACTTGTGCTGGAGAGGTTGGCATTATTCTCGCCCACAGAGGAGATCTTATTAAAAAGATGAGAGAATGTCAATCTCGACGAAGTAGAAGTATGGAAATTGTTAAACGGGTGTAGAAGAGGCTTTAGAACAGAATGAAGAAATTCTGAGAGCGATAGAAGATTTGGAAGAGATATTTGAAAGATTTGAGGCGGAGGGTTATAGGAGGAATATGGAGTTGCGAATGGAATTTTTAAGGCGAGATAATAGGGATAGGTTTTTCTTTTTAATAATTCTTTTTATGTTTTTATTAATTCTTTTTATGTTTTTATATTCAACATCTTTTTCAAATCATAATTTCATCTTTCAAATTTTGAATTTCGTCTTTATAATCTTTGATTTTAGAATCTTTATCCTCAATAAGTTTATCGAATTCTCGTTTGTTATTGATAAGTTGTTCTTGTAATACTATTCATAGGATTCTTGGTTGTCGATTTAGTGTTTCGCGATGCGATGATTAATTTCGCGTTTCGAAAAATCAAGCAGATCGTTATAGTAAAATTCAAAATCGTACTTAATAATCCATATCAATTCTTTGCACACACATGGACAATGGTAACTTTTAACATGCATGTAAGTTTTATAAGCATAGGATTCTTGGTTTCCGATTTAGTGTTTCGCGATGCGATGATTAATTTCGGTTTTTCGAAAAAGCAAGTAGATCGTTATAGTAAAATCAAAAATCGCACTTAATAATCCGTGTCAATTCTTTGCACACACATGGACAACGGTAACGTTTAACATGCATGTAAATCTCATAAGCATACGATTCTTGGTTGCTGATTTAGAGTTTCGCGATGCGATGATTAATTTCGCGTTTTCGAAAAATCAAGCAGATCGTTATAATAAAATCCAAAATCGTACTTAATAATCCATGTCAATTCTTTGCACACACATGGAAAACGGTAACGTTTAACATGCATGTAAGTTTTATAGGCATAGGATTCTTGGTTGCCGATTTAGGGTTTCGCGATTCGATGATTAATTTCGCGTTTCGAAAAATCAAGCAGATCGTTATAGTAAAATTCAAAATCATACTTAATAATCCATGTCAATTCTTTGCACACACATGGACAACGGTAATGTTTAACATGTATGTAAGTTTTATGAGCATAGGATTCTTGGGGTTGTTGATTTAGGGTTTCGCGATGCGATGATTAATTTCACGTTTTCGAAAAATCAAGCGAATTGTTATAGTAAAATCCAAAATCGTACTTAATAATCCATGTCAATTCTTTGCACATACAGTACATGGACAACAGTTACCTTTACCATGCATGTAAATCTCATGAGCATACGATTCTTGGTTGCTGATTTAGGGTTTCTAGGGATTGAGTTGAAATTGGTTTTGCGTTTCGAGATCGTTATAGTATAAGTATACACATTATATACAGTATACACCATTTCTCAATACACTATCATAATATGAAGATAAAATAAAAGAGGTTAGTCAGAAGCACATTTCTTCATGACTCTTCATGCAATTTTGTTCTCACGTGGAACTGCAATGAGTTAATGTAATTGTTATGTACTGTATATACTGACAGCCAAGCCAGTTGGCATCCGCGTAAAGTCTCAGTAATAATATCAAGTTTCATTCAGAGAAATAAGGAAAACTTTATTAGCCTGCTAACAGAATAGTCTCAGATTCACATTTCCCTCTCGCTATACCAATACCCTATTACTATGTGTTACTTACGGAATCTTCTTTCCCCCATCTCTCCATAACGGCTGCTGTAATAAACCAAGTGGTAATAATTAAAAAAGTTGCTCCTAAATAGAACTCTTCAGAGTTTTATTCTTGGTCGGTTATCTCAAAAAACTGAACGAGAATCTGTTAAAGCGCTCTTAAAAGACGTTTTGCATGAGCGTCTACTGCTTGACACATAAAACACTTACAGGATTGTTTCAAGTTTCAGTGTGTAGCTCAGAACTAGCAGTACGTTTTGTGTTATAACACGAAGACCAAGTTGCTAGTTGTGCGAGTATGTAATCGTCATTTGAATACTGACATTTGATGTTACACAAACATTTGATCATAGGACCTGGTGAGTCAATCCCTATGTCCTACAAGTTGGGATATCATGTTCAATCTATCAGAAATCTGCTCACAAGATGGTCTTTTTTCAGGCAGCTCATCCCAACATTCTGAATATAGCATAATATATTCGTCAGGTGTTCCTGAAACTGGAACATCCCGACTACTGTTAAACCTGTAAGCTACAATGTCGCGATAATTTCGGAGCCCGTTGCATGGTTTCTTCCCGCCAGAGATTTCCCACAATATCACCCCGAAGCTAAATACATCCGACATTTTATCCTGCATAGTAGGTGGGCTACATAAACATCTTGGGTCAAGATATGGAAGGGTTTGTTGAACGCTCGATTGACTTTCTTGTTGCAAACCCAGATCAGACGAGCCAAAGTTTGTTAACTTCGCCACGCCAGCATGAATTAATATATTATGAGGCGACTAGTAAAACCAATTGCATGACATGAATATCCGAAGCAATATAGTTGCGTATTACAACAAAATAGTTACCAAACGTTTGTGTAGATTGTCAAGTCCGTGGAGATACCTCAATGATATTGATACCGAGCTTGCATCTCGATGCGTCTATAGATAACGTCTTAATGAGCCATAATCCGCATATTCGAAGACCAAAACATATCTACTTAGCGGATCTTTTAATCAAATAACATGATAATTTTATCCTGTAACATAATCCATCAATGCTTACCTTCACTCAATCCGAGGAACCGAATGATGTTAGGATGGTCATCGAGCTTACGAAGAATCTTAAGCTGAAAAAGTGTATTAGTTGCGCAATCTAAATAAACAATATCCGAATGCACACATTATCATCGTGATATCAACCTGCTTCACCACATTTTCGAACATCTCGTCTTCATTCTCTGAATGAAGAGGCTTGTACGCGACCATTCTATCAAGCGTCTTGGCTTTCGCTTTGAAAACTGCTCCATATCTTCCGATACCGATGCACAGCGACTTAATAAAATCGCAGTAAGCATAAAATTGGATGCTTCCATCCTCGACACTTTCCCTTAACCATTCTTTGCCAGAGTGATCTGAGGACATGTTTTGTTGCCTTGTAATAATTCTTTGTAAATGATGTGTGGCTGTGTGAAACGTCAATTGTGTACGAAATATAATTGGCTCTCACATTTCTCTAACCCCAAATCGAAATCTGACGCAATTCGGGATCGGGTCGACTCAATCAAATACAGTACGCTCAGAGTGATATAATCACAAAATTTATGAATACATACCGCACAACAGTGTTATATATTAAGAGTAATAGTAATACTCGTTTATTCTGATGATTTGAACATCGGTGATTGTTTCGATGACAACATGACTACAGATACTATTCACTCTTTTACATGAACGCCTCGTCGAACAGTCCCGATTGACAATTAAATGCTCTTGGAGTTCTTCACTATCAACTAGTGCCAGACGTCTCGCCACTCACTTCAGTTAGTGAGACAGATGTATTTGGTATAATGAACGCCAAATACCACTTCGTTTTAATGATCCTGAACTAGAGGCCGTTTTATTCCCCAGATGGTCGTGGATTTTATGGTGACTTATGTACCGTTTGAATTCTAATGCTAAATAATGACATATAGGGAGTATATTAAATTTCAACTAATGGGATATGACCCCCGCTTTCGCCTTCACCCTGTTTGGATGATGTGGTCATATATGCGACTGGAAAAATTACGAAATTTTCAAAATACTGCACGCATATATCGCCAGCATGTTAATTCTACACATGTTTCCCTTTCTGCCATACAATGGTTACGTAAAAGTCATTATACTGATAAATGATAGTAGATGAACAAAATCAATGCCTCTACCTACTTTTATTCGTACTGGTGATTCTTATTTCAAGGGAAAGGAGCATCATTTAAACACTATGGTAAATGCAAAAGGTTTACCAACTTTATTTATCACTCTATCCATGGCTGAAAGTAAATGGATTCATCTTACTGAAAATACGTCGACATATCAAATACCCAATGACAACCCAAAACTGACTTTGACTGCTCTCTCTGAAAAACGATCACTTATGTGCCAGTTGCTGCTCAAAAATACAAAAGGCTCCCATACCCAGTCGACTCAATCACGAAACAACCAGAAAAAGCTAACAATGTAACCTCCTCCAACTTTTGGCAAACCATCACCGGCGACTTATCAGGAAATGGACTATGCGTCTACGGTCGAAAGCGACCAAGAATCGATCAAAAAATTACACAATTAGTATCTGATAAGTTAAACTTGCCTTCTTATGAAAAGTCATAATGTAAGCTTTTTTTCCTTTAAAAACTTGTAAGTGGGTTGCGGTTACGGCCACATAAGCTTTGTCGGTAGTAATTTACTTTCTTGGGTATGGTATAAACTCAAATTCTGACTTCCCTATTTTCTTTCTTCAGTACGTCTCTATTTTTCTTTTACCGAGACGCTGTTTTGAATTATCGTACATTACGCTGTGACGCTTAGCATTTTTTTAGCGTATGCGTTTTTAGCGAGGTCTTTCTCTGACTGAGTCTCATTTTTTTTTCAACTCACACAGCGACCTCCCCATTTTGTCCGCATGGATCGAAATGTGATTGGTTGATCATTAGTTTTGATAAAATTTCCGTAAAAAGTAATAAATTAGGGCGATAACAACTGACCCGAATACAACTGCCAGAATCGGTTACAGTAACGTGACCGTCCGTACAACGTTTTCAGCCAGTCATCAGCCTTAAAATCTTGTGTTGCATGTGAAATTTTGGTGTCGCACACAGATTTCTTTATTAAGAACTGAGATGC